TTCATTTATCAATTTCTGTTGTGAACCTTTAGGCATAACTTAATAATTTAAAAGGGAAATACCATACCACTGCACAGAGCTCCTCATGCCAAGATTGACATCTTTTCTTAACACAACAACTTCTTTCTCAACACTTTGGAATCTGAAAATAAAAAAATCTTTCATTTGTGACCCACTTCAAAAGCCATTGTTAAAAAGTTCCAAATCAACTTTAATTTCCATGCTGCAGGCCCTATATCAAAATCTTTGTCAGCAAGTGCTTTTTTTCTCACAATCTGTAATTATTATGCTTCATTATGTTAGTCAAAATAACATGTTTGACAAGTGGCAACAAAATTTATATAATAGTACAACTAGAAAAGCACTCAGAGAGCGCAGACCTCCGCCAAGGCAGCGTTTTTTTATTATCATTGATTATTGATTGATTATTGATCCGGATCACCACCAAAAATCATCTCTTCCTTGGCCCACTTTTGACAGTTCCTGAAAATTTCATCAAAATCGGTCCATAACTTTTTGAGTTATGTTGATGACAAACAAACAAACAAACAAACAAACAAACAAACAAACAGGGGTGAAAACATAACCTCCTTGGCAGAGGTAACTACGTATGTTTAAACCTGGCTTTAAATAAACATATATACTTACATCCATCCTTTTGTTTTCTCTGCCTGAGCTAATTCAGGTTGTTTCACATCTATGTTTGATGCTTGCATAGCCTGGAGGTACAAAAAAGATGATTTAAAGCAAACTGTTTGATGTGCGATATTGAAGTGTGCTGCCTTATATATATATATATATATATATATATATATATATATATATATATATATATATATATATATATATATATAAGTATTATACTAAGGATAAAGAAATAATTTTATTTTTATGATAATGATACTGCAATGATAAAAACAAAGCTATATACAGACTAATATGTTTCAGGAACTTTGCAGTCATGGTTTTAACATCTAACTTTTAAATTTATAGTGAAATGAAAATTATTACAAACACACAAAAATGCAAAAGTATGGGATAACTTTTCATACTAACCACTTGAAATAGCTCAGCTGCTGTCTGGTTTGCAAGAACATGAGCTTTTTTAAGACCGGTTTCATCTAAAATTACAAGAGATATGGCTTGAAGTTGAATATCAATTCCAGATTGAACACAATCTCTTAACCAGACATGTCAAATTCACAGTTTTAGGGATTCCATTACTCTATCATCTTGTAAGGTCTCTCTCTTCTCTTTCTGACATTACAAATCAATGAAACATAACATAAATACTTTGGAAACCTTCACATACTGATGAAACTTTAAAAATAATTACCATTTGTCAATGAGGGTATGATGTATTCCCTTGAATCCAAATCAGAGGTTAAAACATTAGACATTTCCAGTTCTCTCTTTCCCTCTTCACTGTTATCATGGTGACTAGTATGGGGGCTATCATCCTCTGTTCCAATTTTAAATATTTTTGTAGACTCTGATACTTTATCTACATCTTTATCAAACACTTCATCAATACAGTCTTCAGTAGCTGCATGTTTTTGAGTAGAAATCGCAGACTTAGCAGATATTTCACTGGTTTGCCTATGTACAGCATCTGCACCAGCAGTGTGGGGGCTGCCTTTAACGACCTCAGAATGTGACCTCATTTTAACCTTTCCTCGCCTTCTTTTCATGCTTCCGCTACTGCTACCAGATGCAGTTCGCTGTCTTTGGTATTGTGCATTATCACCATTTTCCGAAAGCACTGTTTCTAGGTTTGGGAGAGTGAAAACTTTGTTTGGAATCGGCTGAAGATGTTTCATCTGGAAGAAGTCCCGTAAGCAGCCTAATCTTTTGACCACCTTGGCTGTGGAAGGAGCACTTCCTAACCAATTTGAACTTGGGTGAAAGACAATGGTAAGAAGGGACTTGTCAAGACCTAGAGAATAAAAAAGAAACATTTTAAATTGGCCTTCAACTTATTAACTGTTCTTATAATTTACAGCTTAAGGAGTATGTTTAGACTATATAATAAAGAAAAGTCATACATTACTGCACTTTGAAACAATTTCAAATTGATATTACATGAACTTTACAAAATACAAACCTTCCACTGGTTGAGCAAGATAAAATGTCCACTCTGAGCCCATCACTTCAGACTCTAAAAGCCAGCAGCAGCCATTTTCTTCTTGGAAGTAAAGCCTATGTATAGATACATATTTTTATTTGGTATACACTGAAATTTTTTCTAAAACAATCACAAAACATTCATTTAGATTTTTTAAAAAGTCATTGATGCAGATACCAGTTCTTAATTCAAAATTATTTTTAAAAATATGTAATGGTGAAATTACCTTTGGTAAACTTGCATTGGTAAGGGAAGTCCAACATGGAAGAACTTTGTAAAAAAATTATTGAGCAGCCTGAGTACAAATTTCAGGGCACTTTTCCTATCTACTTCTATCATATCACAAATGACTGGCAAGAAGCTATATTGCACATGGCGTGTGGTATCTGAGGAACTGTGAGAGCCACTATCTGCAGAAACATGGCTGACACTTCTGACTGTAGGATCCCATTCACATAACTTGTTCACATTGGTGAGAATATCTAACAGGGACTGAAAAGGAGATCACTGTGTTATAATATTTATATTTAATAAAATATTCATAAATCTTATGACTGGAGTCATTAAAATTGAAATAAATAGGAAGGAAAAAGATTGTAAACTCATGGATTCAATGTTTCTGATTTTAAATCTGAATTACATTACCAAGATATATTAAGAAAATCAAAATCAATCCACAAATATAAAACAAGAACTGATTGAAAAACAAAACAAAAAACAGCAAAACAAATTCTGATTGATTGTTATGGAGAATTGGCCATAAATAGTTACAAACACAAGATTTTTTTGGCTGGAAAAAATCATTGCATATTCATACAGAATTTTGATGCATAATTTCCCATCCTCAAGAATAGCCCCTTGTATCTCTTCACAACAGTTTTGAATGGGCATTTTGGCCCATATACATGTATGTTTCTGGCTGCCTTATTGGCTAGAGTTCACTAAAATAGGCTATAGTTAATATATGATTTCAATATTTATAAATATTAATTCATTTGTGTTGTCTAAAAAATTGCCAGAAAAATCATCTGAAAATTCAAGTTTTATATGAAATATTTCAAAAGTTTTTACAATAGCCAATCATATATTCTAAGCCCTAAAAAGAGTGAACTTAAAGACAAAAGGAAAAAATCCAACGGGTCCACCTTTTCTTTCCATACCAAAACCAAACACATTTTACCTGTTCCTAATAAAAGTGTCCAACTTAAAAAAAATATATGTAATATATCAAAAACCAATCAATCAAAATTTGTCTTTCACAAGAATGCTTGCATATTTGCCTGAGTATTGGGTAGTTGACAAGAAGGCACCCACGGGTAGGAAAGTAAAGTGGACGTGTAGCTCTGCAAGCAAAAATAGAAAGCAGTCTGAGTGCAACAGAAGCTTAAAACCAAACATTAATCCACTGACTTCATTATAACTGTCATTTTACTGGCTTCCTACTTAAAGCAGTGCGTCTAATCTAAACTAGCAAATACAAACAGAAGTGTCTGAAGTAATTTTGAAAGCACTTGCATAAAGCCCATCAAATTTAGTAACTATTCCATACAAAAGACAAATTTAATATAACCAGAAATCATAATATGGTTATTACTCACAAATTTACAAATATCTTATTGATGATCATTTAAAGCTTTTATATTGTCTGGTCATTCACAAAAGAAACAGGCTGATTCTCACACAACCCACTCATTTTTAATCAATCTTTTAGAAAATATGAAAAAAAAAAAATAAAATGATAAAATCATTTGTTGGGGGGGGGGGGGTCAGGGGGGGGGTCCAAGAAATCAATTTCTTTGAATTGAGTGAGAAATTCTAATGTAACTCATATCATCTGATTTTTTCAACAAGTATATTCTGTAGAGGACCAGATTAAGAACTGTGTGTTAAAATTAAGATTTTGTTTTAATTCCAAAAGGTCATTCTACAGTAGTTTTTCTTCAGTAACATCTTTCATGCTTCAGAAAATATCTTATGACTTTTTCTCTTGAGGGAGAATTTTGAATTGTTTGGCAGAATATATTATGTATTACTGGGTGTTAATTTTCACTTTTCTTTCATGGCGGACATCATTACCAGTGTCTGATCAGATGTTAACAACAACTGAAGTTCTGACATGAACCTATTAAAGGATAATTGCTCTTGATTACATTAACCTAGACATAAAGTCTCCATATGCATCTCATCAACTTAAATAAGTATTTTTCAAACTATGAGGGCCCTGCCAAAATAGCTTTAAGACAATCTTTTATTCAGCAGGGACATGAGAAGCACTACAAACCAGTTTTTAAATATTGTAATTCACATGATTACATATGCTGACACCCAAAATTAACAAGTTTATAACATACTTGGTAATTTTCAAGTTTCATGGGTCTTAAATGTAATGAAAGGCTGCTTTCTTCTTTGCATAAAATGCCAGTGTTTTGGAACTTCAGTACTTTAGGTTATTGTTACCCAGACTCCAGTCTTACCAAATGATACATCAGAGAATAGAACATTAAATATTTTTTCAAAACTTCTGCCAATTTTGTTAAGGACTGGAATTCAAGATAAGTTGCAAATGTTTATAAATGATAATACTTTTTTCACTGGGCAAAAATTGGACAATCATGTAAGGAAGAGAAATAATTATGGATAAACAATGATCTTGGTTGTCAATGAATGTAAGTTATATATTTCTGATTTAAAAATGATGCTCACCTCACCAGGCATCTAAAATTCTTATTGAAAAAGCAGAAATCATTTCAAATTCAATTTTTGAAGAGGAGATGCATAAAGCGTAGCAATGAAATCCATACTTACATTTTTATACTCACAAATTACTGAACATATTTGACCCCAATCAATTATATAAATTGGAAAATTAAACTGCTGGTTAGATTTTACCTTTGGGTACTTCTTAACCAAGCCACAGCAACCAAAGACATTTGTGTGAAGTTCTGGAAAAGTTCTTCTCCATATTCTTGTTCCTAAGATGTAATCCCAAAGCGTCCATTTGTTTGATGGGCACAATGGAAAAATCTGAAAACATGAGAAAAACAGATTAATTTTCCATTTCAATTTAGAACTGTTGGTCATAACTAAAACTATGGCACAAAGAATCAGAACTGAACTCCCAGCAATACTGCCAAGTTAAAGTCCAAAATTTCTAATATTATAATTCATACTGTCAAAATTTACTGACAATATGCTTTATGGCTTTTTTATGTGGGAAACTATATCAAAATACTTCTGAATTAGTAAACACAAGAAACACTTATACAATTTACCTCAATTATGTGTACCAAAAAAAAAAAAAACAAAAAAACAAAGACTTTTTTTTAATAAGTATTTATCTCAGTGTGACCCACCTTATTCTGATTCAAGATCTTGAGGATTTTGACTCCATCTACTGCCTATAATAATAATAATAATAATAACAATAATAATAATAATAATAATAATAATAATAATTGAGGCTATCAACACCCTAGCCATACCTGTAGTGACATACAGCTTTAACATCATCAACTGGAAAATGAGCGACATCAGAAGACTAGACACCAAGACCAGGAAGATGCTGACCATAGAAAAGATGCACCACCCAAAAGCTGATGTTCACAGGCTGTACCTTCCAAGAGCAGAAGGAGGAAGAGGCCTGGTCCAACTTGAACTGTCCTTCAAAATTACCACCATAGGCCTGGACACATACCTGACATCAACAGAACCCCCACTCCTCCAACTAGTGAAATATCATGAGGATAGAAAAAAGCTCTTCTCGATCAAAAAGGAAGCCTCAAAATTCAAGCAGGAGCTGAAAATCCCAGAAATACCACCAACCGAGAATGAAGCAACAACAAAGTATGCCCGCAGAGTCAAACAGAAAGCAAAACAACTTGGCCAGCTACAAATGCAGANAAAACATTCCTCTAGTGTATAGATTGAGTGCTGTATCTTCAAAATTCGAGAAATGGATTTTTACATGAACATTGTCCTTTAAGGTGTCCTCTGCATAGTTTAATAACTGCCCAAACTACAGTCAGTATTCTAATAATAACCTTTTGCTATGGGTTATCAAAACCTTGGTACATGTACCTAAGATTGCTTAATAACTCTCTGCTGCAATAGATATGTGAGATAGGATTTATCTTCTAAGTGGCACTGTACTTGGGACAGCTTTGTGAAGCCCTATCAATATTGATGGATGAGGGTTATACTGAATGCCAAATGAGAAACTTGAACATGTCATCATTTTCAATGCTATTTTCTATAAATCTAACACAAGTTAAAACAAGGAGATAATTCTTTAAAATGTAGCTGAAATAGAAATGTTATCAAAAATTAACGTGTTCAATTCAAAATCGTTGAAAATGACATTGTAATCTTACTGTTAGCCAGCAATGACTGTAACACGCATGACCATGCTACATCAATTTTATTATCTTTAAAAATTAAATATATCATCTTTCTACCAACTAATGTATGTATCTATAATTAAGATATATGTACCAGTGTACACAAATGTACAATTTTCACTGCGAAGATCTCAAATGCGATCTTTGTGATGTTTGCTATGCGTACCTAGAGGTCTATATTGTCCCATTTCGGTCCATTTCTATGTTTTAAAGGACCTAGTATGTACTGTAACTGGATACAGGAGAGTGCCATGTGGGCACAACCCTTAATTCAAACCTTGCATCAATATTATTTATAAGCAATTGATATAATTATTACTGGTCTTGCTATGTTCCATACTATGGTAAGTAGGAGCAGGGCAAGGCCTTGCAATGAGGAAACCTTGTTCTTAAGCAAATTCAAACCACCAGACCTAATTCATTGCCAAGATTTATTGCCAAAATAAAAATAACTCACCTGTTTTTCGTGAGTAAACCATTTGTAAATTATCACAGAGAGAAACCCAAGGAATGCTCCAATACATGTTATGAAAAAAACATCCATTACGCTTTGACAAATGAACGATCATGCTCACTTAAAGAATGATAATATGTAGATTCATCGTCCTCACTGAAATCTGCTAAATAGGTCACGGTAACGGAAGTGTTCAATAGGTTGCGCACGGAGTGTAATCAACAACAAAAATGGCGGCGCCCTTGCGACTCACGGTTTTATGAATCTGAACGTTGTGAATGACATTTACATAGGAATATTGTTATTGAAAAGGTGAGCAGCTAGGTAATTTGCCTGTTTTAACATTTTGGTGATATTGGAAACTGTAATATTATAGTATTTATACCCCTGGCATCTTAAAACACCTAGTTCTTTATTTAAACCGGTTGGGATTACCTATCCCGTGTTGTTTTAAAGCTAAACAATACATTGTTAACAGTTTTCACCCCAACATACACCGTTTCGAGCATGTCTTATGTCCTGCATTAGGCTTTATATACCATTAAGTTTAGCATACTAATAATCGCAATTTTGTCTCTAGATGTAATTTTTTTATATATTACGTATATCAGAAAAAAAAATAGAATGTGCCAGATATAAACACAAGGTATATCTTCTGAAATTTCTTTTTATCCACAATGTTATACTTTTGGAATTTTGATATTATCTATAAAATTAAAGGAAATACCACAGTTCTTAGATAGCGATATTGCGGCAAATGTGCCCTCCCATTTTAGCTAGAAAGCTGTGACCACTGAGCGGTTTTGTGCCAACTTAAAAATACACTTCACCTTGATCAATTTTCATGGGGTCTGTTGCATAATATCACAAATGTTCTACACTTTCTCAAGGTATTAAAATTGAGGTGTAGAAGACTTTTGTATAGGTTGTTAACTGAGGTGCCTCAGTTGTCGCTGGTCACAAGCGGACCAGTGCTGCTGCAGGACATGATTGACTGTGGCACCTCTAAAGCATTCTGATATACCTATATATATTCTAGCTATTGTGCTAGAAGATGGAACAAATTTGTAAAGATCTTTCAGTGTCAGGTGTCTGTTGAAAATGATCAATCACTGTATCTTTTTATCACTGTATCTAAATGTATGCTATAGTATGTGATGCTGTTTCCAATGTAGTAAAACATAGGCATAACAGTAGCATTGTGTTGCATGTGTAGATAAAGTGTAAGTAAAATGCTTAGAACTAGCCAAAGGTAGTTTATTTTTGTGAACTGCACTTATTGGTCTCAGTTGTTAGCATAGATTATGTCCATTGAGATTGTTAAAGAAGGTGTGCTCCAGTCAGTAACCTGATGAAGAGTTAAACTAATTCCAATTTCTAGCAAATCTTAATCAAAGAACATGTATACACTTTTCCAGATACTGAGAAACTCCGGCCATCATGACCTCTATCATCAAGCTCCAGGTGTTTTCTGGAGCCTATGATGAATCTCCACCGTGTTATCTACTTCAGCTTGATGACTTCAGGTTTCTGTTGGACTGTGGTTGGGGAGAAAACCTAGCCATGGATCACATTAATGAAGTCAGAAAGTAAGAGAAATGATTTGAAACTTGACATGTCCTGCTAAAATGATTGTAAAACACATTATAACTTCAGTTTTTGTTTACATTCAGTGTGAAAGCTTAGCTTTTCTGCAGAATTTTTTTAGCATCTTAGAAAGAATAGCATTTTTAAATAAGATAAACTTTGTTCAAACTATATGCACTGCTAATTATTTCATTAAGCAGATAGGGATATTCTCCCAGTACCATTTGTTCCCATGTTGTTTAACTGTTCATTTCTAGAATAAGTAATTATGAATTTCACCAGCTATTACCTCTCTTGAAATAAATTTGTAGAGCGTAAAATACTGTGGATTGACCCTGTGAATAATGAATTTGGACTCTTAGTACATCAATTGTAAAATTTTTAATTGGCAGTGCTAATATAGATGCATTTATTAATGTTTTTATCTTAGGCATCTTGGCCAAATTGATGCAGTATTGCTGTCACATCCTGATGCATTCCACTTAGGGGCGCTGCCCTATCTTGTGGGGAAATGCGGCATGAATTGCCCTATCTATGCTACCATTCCAGTATATAAGATGGGACAAATGTTCATGTATGACTTATATCAGGTAATAAGAAATCTCATATATAAGAGTGTAAATNTTTGTGAAGAAGGGATTAGAGAAATACACCAACAAAATCCCTGGAAACATCAACATCCACGAAGTCCAGAAGATAGTTCTCCTCGGCACAACACACATACTACGAAGGGTGCTATCGATGAAGTAGAAAGGAACAACTACCCTCTAGCGCCTCAGGACCATTGTTTGGGCCCGGCTCTTTAGGACGTAATAAACAATGCAGAAAGAGACCACACTTTATAATAATAATAATAATCATGAAAATAATAAACTAGAAATCACTCCAGTCTCCTGAGAGTGCAGACCTCTACCAAGGCAGCCCAATTCCCCCATATTAACAATATCTGACAATGGTTCTTATAAAATTCTTTCATCTAGATTCTGATAAATAGAAATATTGAACCATTTGTTATATAATCTTCTATGGCCTGGATTGCACTTTTCATATTTAAAACTGTAAATGGGAATTTTCAGTACTATTAAATTTCAGATTTAAGGTTACTTAAGGTGTCATCTGCATAGTTTAATAACTGCCCACACTACAGTCAGTATTCTAATAATAACCTTTTGTTATCGGTTATCAAAACCTTGGTACATGTACCAAAGATTGCTTAATAACTCTCTGTTGCAATAGATATGTGAGATAGGATTAATCTTCTAAGTGGCAGTGTACTTGGGACAGCTTTGTGAAGCCCTATCAATATTGATGGATGAGGGTTATACTGAATGCCAAATGAGAAACTTGAACATATCATCATTTTCAGTGCTGTTTTCTATACATCTAAAACACAAGTTAAAACAAGGAGATAATTCTTTAAAATGTAGCTGAAATAGAAATTCTATCAATATTAACGTGTTCAATTCAAAATCACTGAAAATGACAGTGTAATCTTACTGTTAGCCAGCAATGACTGTAACACGCATGACCATGCTACATCAATTTTATTATCTTTAAAAATTAAATATACAGTATCATCTTTCTACCAACTAATGTATGTACACAGTACAGTATCTATAATTAAGATATATATACCAGTGTACGTAAATGTACAATTTTCACTGCGTAGATCTCAAATGCGATCTTTGTGATGTTTGCTATGCGTACCTAGAGGTCTATATTGTCCCATTTCGGTCCATTTCTATCCATTTCTATGTTTTAAAGGACCTCTAGTATGTGCATGTAACTGGATACAGGAGAGTGCCATGTGGGCACAACCCGACTAGTAAATTCAAACCTTGCATCAATATTATTTATAAGCAATTGATATAATTATTACTGGCCTTGTTATGTTCCATACTATGGTAAGTAGGAGCAGGGCAAGGCCTTGCAATGAGGAAACGTTGTTCTTAAGCAAATTCAAACCACCAGACCTAAGTAAAAATTCATTGCCAAGATTTATTGCCAAAATAAAAATAACTCACCTGTTTTTCGTGAGTATACCATTTGTAAATTATCACAGAGAGAAACCCAAGGAATGCTCCAATACATGTTATGAAAAAAACATCCATTACGCTTTGACAAATGAACGATCATGCTCACTTAAAGAATGATAATATGTAGATTCATCGTCCTCACTGAAATCTGCTAAATAGGTCACGGTAACGGAAGTGTTCAATAGGTTGCGCACGGAGTGTAATCAACAACAAAAATGGCGGCGCCCTTGCGACTCGCGGTTTTATGAATCTGAACGTTGTGAATGACATTTACATAGGAATATTGTTATTGAAAAGGTGAGCAGCCAGGTAATTTGCCTGTTTTAACATTTTGGTGATATTGGAAACTGTAATATTATAGTATTTATACCCCTGGCATCTTAAAACACCTAGTTCTTTATTTAAACCGGTTGGGATTACCTATGCCGTGTTGTTTTAAAGCTAAACAATACATTGTTAACAGTTTTCACCCCAACATACACCGTTTCGAGCATGTCTTATGTCCTGCATTAGGCTTTATATACCATTAAGTTTAGCATACTAATAATCGCAATTTTTGTCTCTAGATGTAATTTTTTTATATATTACGTAAATCAGAAAAAAAAAAAAAATAGAATGTGCCAGATATAAACACAAGGTATATCTTCTGAAATTTCTTTTTATCCACAATGTTATACTTTTGGAATTTTGATATTATCTATAAAATTAAAGGAAATATCACAGTTCTTAGATAGCGATATTGCGGCAAATGTGCCCTCCCATTTTAGCTAGAAAGCTGTAACCACTGAGCGGTTTTGTGCCAACTTAAAAATACACTTCACCTTGATCAATTTTCATGGGGTCTGTTGCATAATATCACAAATGTTCTACACTTTCTCAAGGTATTAAAATTGAGGTGTAGAAGATTTTTGTATAGGTTGTTAACTGAGGTGCCTCAGTTGTCGCTGGTCACAAGCGGACCAGTGCTGCTGCAGGACATGATTGACTGTGGCACCTCTAAAGCATTCTGATATACCTATATATATATATTCTAGCTATTGTGCTAGAAGATGGAACAAATTTGTAAAGATCTTTCAGTGTCAGGTGTCTGTTGAAAATGATCAATCACTGTATCTTTTTATCACTGTATCTAAATGTATGCTATAGTATGTGATGCTGTTTCCAATGTAGTAAAAAATAGGCATAACAGTAGCATTGTGTTGCATGTGTAGATAAAGTGTAAGTAAAATGCTTAGAACTAGCCAAAGGTAGTTTATTTTTGTGAACTGCACTTATTGGTCTCAGTTGTTAGCATAGATTATGTCCAGTGAGAATGTTAAAGGTGTGCTTCAGTCAGTAACCTGATGAAGAGTTAAACTAATTCCAATTTCTAGCAAATCTTAATCAAAGAACATGTATACACTTTTCCAGATACTGAGAAACTCCGGCCATCATGACCTCTATCATCAAGCTCCAGGTGTTTTCTGGAGCCTATGATGAGTCTCCACCGTGTTATCTACTTCAGCTTGATGACTTCAGGTTTCTGTTGGACTGTGGTTGGGGAGAAAACCTAGCCATGGATCACATTAATGAAGTCAGAAAGTAAGAGAAATGATTTGAAACTTGACATGTCCTGCTAAAATGATTGTAAAACACATTATAACTTCAGTTTTTGTTTACATTCAGTGTGAAAGCTTAGCTTTTCTGCAGAATTTTTTTAGCATCTTAGAAAGAATAGCATTTTTAAATAAGATAAACTTTGTTCAAACTATATGCACTGCTAATTATTTCATTAAGCAGATAGGGGTATTCTCCCAGTACCATTTGTTCCCATGTTGTTTAACTGTTCATTTCTAGAATAAGTAATTATGAATTTCACCAGCTATTACCTCTCTTGAAATAAATTTGTAGAGCGTAAAATACTGTGGATTGACCCTGTGAATAATGAATTTGGACTCTTATTACATCAATTTGTGTAATAGGGGGACTTGAACTTTATTTTTAATTGGCAGTGCTAATATAGATGCATTTATTAATGTTTTTATCTTAGGCATCTTGGCCAAATTGATGCAGTATTGCTGTCACATCCTGATGCATTCCACTTAGGGGCGCTGCCCTATCTTGTGGGGAAATGCGGCATGAATTGCCCTATCTATGCTACCATTCCAGTATATAAGATGGGACAAATGTTCATGTATGACCTATATCAGGTAATAAGAAATCTCATATAAAGAGTGTTAATATGGGGGTTGGTTTATTCTTGTTTCTTTTTACATTGTAATTTCTGTTAACACCTCCTATGGCTACCCATCGACGTCATTTAGTTTTTCAGTATTGTAAAAATGTAAAATAATACTATATATGTGTTAATATAGGTTAAATATTTTAACAATTTTGTGAACAACTTGATACTTATTTCTTTTAGTCTCACCACAACACGGAAGATTTCAACTTATTCACTTTAGATGATGTTGATGCTGCTTTTGATAAGATTATACAACTGAAGTACTCACAGTCTGTGAGTTTAAAGGGTTAGTATTCATAAGAAATATGTACAAAACTCATGGTATCATATAGAATTTTTGACAAATGTAAACATTTATTTTATTTGATATAGCTAAGAAAGTATGAAATATCTTACTTTTTGCCAGTTTATCAGTGTTTCCAAAATTATTTAGCTGAAGATTTCAGTTGTTTCTTTAAAGGAAAACTGAACTGTAATGAAGTCAGCATGTCACAGCTTTTAATATAAAATGCAATCATAAAGACACATTGTTAGAAGTATTTATAAACAACAATCAGTTTTGCGCTGTGTGCTGGATATTAAAAACAAATTTAAACAAGTGTTTTGAACAAGCATATTTCCTGAAAGTTAACTTCTACTTATTATTCCTTTTTGTATTTCATATCCAAACATTGAATCATTCAGGTTGAAATATTAAATTATGGTGTTGTTCCCAATTTTAGGGAAAGGCCATGGCTTACAGATCACTCCATTAGCAGCTGGACATATGATTGGTGGCACTATATGGAAGATAGTCAAAGATGGCGAGGAAGAAATCATTTATGCTGTAGACTATAATCACAAGAAAGAAAGGTTCATATTTTAAATATATTGTTACATTTGCATTTGATTCTTTGTCCTTTAAGTTCTCAATGCCAATTTCAAGAATACTTTCAACTGGCATATATAATTAATGTGATACAGGAAAAGGAAAGGCAAAAATGGTATGAATTACAATTGGAAAATGAAGACCAGTTATGCCAAGGATTTAAGTATTTGCAGAATCTCAAACAACTGTGATACTAATAAAATTATGTTATGTGATATTTTGCTGTATAGGCACTTAAATGGCTGTGTCCTGGATACATTTAGCAGACCTCATTTACTCATCACAGATGCATTGAATGCCAACTATATGCAGGCAAGGCGGAGGGCACGAGATGAACAGCTGATGAGTGAGTTGTTTATTACAAAAATATGAAGCAGTTTGGGGAGTTCAGTTTGGGGTACCATAGCAGTTTTAATTGTTTGTGTTGCTCATATTTCTATGGAGATTCATATCAAATCACTGTATAGATCTTTAAGAAATAAATAAGTTATCATAATAATGCCACTTGCATCTGTGAAGAAATACTAAAAAGAAGTAATATCTTATCCAATCTTTTGATCCTTCGGCCTTCTTCAGGGATTTGAAAAAAAAATGGCAAAAAATCAAACTCATAGGATAAGTGACGTCAGTTATGTGTTTTTAAAACATACTCATATTTCTACAAACCGTTTGTAAAAAAGGCAATATACAAGCACATTTTTACTCCTTCAAACTAAAATTTAGTATATTCACATTAGTATTTGTTTAACAATCTTTAATCAATCTATAAAGATGCTTTTGAAGTCAATTTTTTTGCCACCAGCTGACTAAATGCCATCATACAGTTTCAAATAGTATCACTCAGAGAAATACCAAAAGACTTTGTTTTATATTACCTGAAAAATGATATTTGAATGGATTTTTCTGCCTGCATTCTGTGCTGTATATAAACGGGACAGATAAGTATGTCAGATATGTAGGTCAAATTTACGACTAATAAATTGAAGAAGGTGCAGTTTAAAGCTCTTTTATGGCTGATCAAGTGATTAATTTGATTTTTCCTTGGTATGTCAACTTAATTTGAGCTGTATAAGAAACTAGTAGAAGTAGTTTATATGTGTTACTGGGTATCCATGCTCCACTGATGCTCTGATCAAATGTACCTTTAAAGAGAGCTCAATATGTGTTTTTGCAGCCACCATTTTGCAGACCATGAGAGGAAGTGGCAATGTTCTGATATGCTTAGACACAGCTGGCAGGGTTTTGGAACTGGCTTTGTTATTGGTATGGAGTTGACACCTTCAGTGGATATCAACAGTAGAAAAATACAGCATGACCTCTTTTGTGTTTGTTTCCATGTGAATTTGCCTAATCATTATCTTTTTAGTTACCCATTAATATATTTTTCTACATATTATCTTCTTATAATTTTTTTTCTCCTTTTTTTTAATATAAAAAAATTAACTTAAAGTGGTTCAAGGTATCAGTAGCCTCATCAATATGCCATTTACCTACAATATATAAACAATTAATTATGGGTCACTTTTTAGGACCAGATGTGGAGGACACAAGAATCTGGCCTCACTGCCTACTCTTTGGCATTGCTCAACAATGTTAGCTACAATGTGGTGGAATTTGCCAAGTCACAGGTGAGTTCAAGTTAACATGAAGGAATGCTTGCAAAGCATCTGAGTAGTTCTGGTCTATCCATAATACTGCCTTGGCTTACAATTTTGTTGTCACTTCTTTTGTAATTGTGTTGAAGAGAAGATGATGATGATGATGTTGTCCTCTGACAAATGACACTAGGCATTTTTGGGTAAAACCTGTTTGAACCAGAGGAAAAGTGATTCAATATTACCATAATTTTGAGATCCTGGGCTATTGATTTTCCCTTTTGTTTATTTAGTTTTTCTTTTTAAAATGCTATGTAAAATTCTGTCTACATGGCAAGGAGTTTTGCCTATTAAAAATATGATTGATTGTTATGACTGAATACAATAGATGGCAGCAGTGTAGCAAAGGTACTCATGTGCAGGTCTGAAATAGAAGGTTGGCCATTTTTTTGATACAACTAAATACAAGTTTTGTCGAAAAACTAAAATGTCACTTATGCAAGGTTAACATGTTTTTTTGTTTCTGTATGCTAAATAGATTTGTATAATTATATGTTACTTCTTTAAGAATGTTAATATAATGAAGTTCTCATGAATATTGCCCCATTTAAAAACTTGTTTTATTGAGCAGGCCATTGAAAGTTTAAGTTGATTGTATTTTACATTGGAAATTGATTAATTAAACTTGATATGGCAGGTTCTGGTCTGTTTATGATGTGAAAAACTTATGATGTAATTCTTTTTTATTTGCATTAACATTAATTCCATTTGCTAATTTGTACAAATTTACTGTTTTTGCAAAGCTTTTTAAAAAGTTTTACATCATGTCACACTTTCACTATTTTGCATGGCCCTTAAACCGAGGGGAGATTTGTAATGTAAGGATTTGAACTAGGAATCAATAACTTTGGAGAATTCTTCGACCAAAAATGTTTGTTGTCATTTGGTAGGAAGTTGCAGACAGTTATAAGACAACGTTTATTCTAAAAGTGAGTCAGTTCACGGGGAGACCTATCTGTTCATTAAAGCATTAAGAACTTGGAGATGTTAATAGCTTTGTGATGGATTTGAGGTCATCAGATTGTAGAATTGATAGAAACTACTTCACATGTAATATGACAATAAGATGAAGCATTAGTCCCTAATGACAATAACTGGAACATCTGCGACAGATGACTGAGCAGGAGAGTTCTAGAAATTCACAAAAGTCACAACAAAGTGATAAATGATCCATGAACAAGATACACGAAATGAGATCATTTTAACTGGAGTGTCTGGAGAGGCTGTGAAAATCATCTGACCTCATCACATTTTATAATGCGTTTTTATTACAGCTTACCAAGTTGGATTTTTGCCAAATGCTGATTGCTGTGTTATCGCGTTTTCTGTTTTTGTTTTATGTGTAATTGTTGTGTACTCAAACCAGAGTTTCAGCTGTAGGTAAATACTATTACCTCACACATTTAATTGTAGAGTCAGACATATTTATCTTATTATTTTTTGGGAAATAATATCAAGGATATATTGCAAAGCATGGGTAGCTTTATACTCAACTGATATTCATATTTTCTTGATCTTTCTAATCACTATAGATTGGGTTCGCTATCCATTAACTCATTGTCCAGTGTCAGTCATCATGATCATCACCATCACTTATTCAGCCAGTATTTGCTGATTACTGTGCTCTCTTGGCAGTGAATGCTGGCAGTCAGAGCAATATTCAGTTCAATATCTGCGCATATCAGTTGTAAAATATTTTAATTAGATATTATTTATGGAGAGCAGTTGATATGTTGTCATCATTGACAATTTATAATGTACGAGTGCAAAAGGTATCTTGAAACAAATTTTCACCTAAAGCCTGTAGTGTATGCATTATTAAGCACAGGAATAAGATACCCTTCTCTTGGCTCTTCATAACAAAAAATAGCAAAATAAATTAATAACAAAAATAGTAACAGAATTTAAAAAAAAGAGCAGGTCCAAGGTTAAAATGTTCATAAGAATTTGTCATCGATGTACGTAATATGTTGGGTGTTGTAATTGCGTTGATTATGAGACAGGTGAATGCATGTGTGTGAAAATTGAAAATTAATTAATTAATAGAGAATTAATTTCATTTAACAACGTATGAAGAAAATGACACAAGTTTGCTCAACATCTGTCCATCCCAAGAATATCTCTTATGTTATTCAAGAAGCTTGTATGTTTCATACCTTATACTAATTCATTGAACCTTGGCTGATAGATAATTATGCATTTTGTTGTTGTCACCTAAGGTCATTGTTTAGATATGCTTTGGGAATAGTAAGCACTTGCATCCTTTCATTTAGAGGTCAGTCTTGTTTTTTTTTTCTAATTGTTATTTTACTCTTGATGAGACTGCCTGGTTGTATTTGAGCACACCCTAGTAGAAAGCAGTTCTCTTAGCACCTAGAAATTTATCTTCCCCATGTAAAGCTTGCCATCTGTTTCCTAGTTTTCAAATTTAATTATTTTTTAAAAGGCACCTCTTCAATTTATAGCCACTTAAGCATGTGTATTATCCATTACATGTGGTTTTAATTTTTTTTCACTGTGGAAGCTCATGTTGTATTTTTTAGTAATTTGAATAAAGTAGTGGTTTTTAGATCAAAGTGAAATGTGAAATCCGTGATGTTTTATTCATTCTAAAGTCAAAAGACATGCCTGAACTGTGAAAGATGTCTGCAGAAAAAATGAACACAAACTTGCTATGCGATGTGACTGAATATATAGCATTTAGGAATAAGTCTCAAATGTCAAGAATGGTAAAGATGGGACAATCTCTTATTAGTCTGTCTCATCATGCATTGTTTAAATGAGACTCAATTTGATATAGATGGTTTGTTTTATAGTAGGAAGCAGCTCTGACACTTGAGTTGACTTGTAGAATTGTTGGTAAATACTAATTCAGTTTATTTACACCTACTGAAAAGATTTAGGAAGTTTTCAGTGAATTAAATTGGGGCATTATGTGCCTGCATGCACATTAATGAAGTATTTGTTCATGTAGGAGTTAAAATTAAAGTTCATGAGATTAAAAATGCAACTGAACATTTTTTTTAGATTTGCAGTCATTTTATTCACAAACACAATAACTTTCACATGCATTTGGCATTGTTGCAAGACCTAAAACTGTGCACTTTTATTGTTAAATCTCAAAATGCATTTATGGCTTTGTGTTGAGCTTACTACAGTCAAACTTGCATCAAACTTACTTTAGTCATTTGCAGGGTTGAAATTCAGGTCCTGATGAAAAATGTGTAGAGTCAACTAATTTTTTAAAAATATTGTTTCTAATGAAAATATATTTGACTTTATTGCAACCCCCCATGTGATCCCTCTGTTATTGTTTATTCTTGCCACAAGATGTAGGTTATCAAACCACAAAACTCTTATTTTATCATTAACTCATTTTTTTACCACAAAACTCAGGCTTGAAAGATATGTATTGCACTAGACCCATTTTGAACACATTCCTTTATCACAAATTTAATTTCTGCTATTCAGAGGAAGGAAGGTACATGTCATGTACAGGAAATTCAAACATTGTAATAATGTTTCTTTATCCATGCGTTTGGTCTCTTGTGTTTTTTGAGAGGCTGAAGAAGATCAGTTGTTACATTCCTGTTTGTATGAAAAAAGGGGAAATCGGCTTTTTTTTGTAACTAGTGATTTAGAAATAGATTTTTCATGGATAGGGTGAACGGCAAAGTCAAAAAGGAAATATTGATCAGTCATGAGGACATTCACCTATAGTACCCATTCATTTACTGTTCTGTTTGATCAAGTCAAAATGATCCTAAACTAATCATTTGAGGAAGTTTTCAATAGATAATATAACTGTGCACAACTTGTTGTTTGTGTCATTTGCTATATCAAAGGAAAAGTGCACCAGTTTCTGAAAGGTTCACAATGTTTTTGAAAATGATGAGTGTGAATACTTTACTAAAATGATGAGTGTGAATACTTTACTAAAATGATGGTTATCATTTGAAAATTAACCAGTTTGCTGTTAATGGTTTTTTTAACAGTGAAAGATGCAGATTGAGAACATGCAGATCAAATAAACATATATATATTGTTCATAAACATTCATAAGTTGCCATTTTGGTGCACTGTCATAAGACACATTCTTTTTTGAGTTAATGTCATCCTTTGTTGTGAAACATATTTTTTTCTAATTAGTGAGGTAATGTTCAAAGTAATTGTAACATATTGATAATTAGAGGAGTGCTAAATGGTACCTAATTGCCAATGCTGAATTTTTTAAAAAGAGATTATCCTACTGATATTGCCTATTGAATGATGCTGGATTTTTACATTCAATTTTCAGGGATGAATAAATGATTTCCATTTTTGTGGTATGTTTAGACATCAAGGTTATCATAATTTCACATTTAATGTTATGAGCATGAAGAGTCTTATTTCCCTTTGATGGAGCAGAATCCATTTAGGATGTCATGTAAAGACATTCAGATATTTTATATTGGAACTTTATCTAAATCTTCTGTTAATTTACCTTAAATATTTATGAAAATGTCTGTATATCATTTTTAATGACAGTATGTCTAATATGTGATAAACAAAAAGGCCATTGTCTGTCTTTTTGAAGCAGAATTCAGTGGTCGATTTTTTGTTTGAAGTTAATGAGTTCAAAACACTTAGATCAGATCGAGTTTCCATTTATTCTAAGTACATTTTATGTTTAGTTTATGTAAAATGAGTGCAATTCAATTTGTGTCAAACTGAATTTGGCGTGATAAGTAAAATATTGATGGTAATAGATTCACATTAAATGTGGATACTCACATGGATAGTTTCTTCCCTTTAATTGTATGTTATTCCTATTTCACGGAAATCACATTCTTCCTTCCAAGAAATTTACAGAAATTACTCATTGTGGTCAGTGATACAGATCATAATCATAGAAACTTATACAGTTGTAATCATAAGTACTTAATGGACATACATCATTCCTGTAGTGAAATGCTACAGGGATCTTCCTGGGT